ATTTATTTATTTATTTATTTATTTATTTATTTATTTATTTATTTAGAGAGATAGGGTCTCTCTGTAGCCCCACCTGGCCTGGAACTCCTTGTGTAGACCATGCTGGTCTTGATCTCAGAGATGTGCCTGCTTCTGCTTTCCCAGGTGCTGGGAATAAAGGTATGTATCACCACACCAGCTTTTAAAAATACTTTTTTTTCTAAAGATTCCAGGCACTAAGTTCCACTTTAGAGTTCTGTAAAGTTTGGCACATGCAAATCATGAAAGCACCATCACACTTGAGGTCCAGAACAGTTCCATCACCCTGGAAGATCACATTGCCCAAGAATTTTTGCAGCTAGTATCATTTTTCGAAAGGTCATGTTCAAAGCCAGGCGTGGTGGCACATGCCTGTAGTTTCAGCACTTGGGAGGCAGAGGCAGGTGGCTCTCTTGAGTTTAAGACCAGCCTGGTCTACATAGTTCCAGGCCAGCTGGGGCTACAGGGAAACCCTGTTTCAAAACAACAACAAAAAATTGTTCGAATGCTCATGTATATTTATCCTTATTTTAAAGTTTTATCTTTTAAGAGTTAAGACAGTTACATCTATGACCTACCACTCATCAGCAACTTTGCAACTGAAGCTTTGGGGGAAAAATGGGACCCATAAAAGGCAAAGGATGTGGGGGGGGGCTGGATAGAGAATGGGAGTCAGGGGCTTTAGGAGCATAATAGGGCCTGGCCATCAGATAGTGCGCATGAAAATATAGGTATAAGTTGTCTTTGTTGTTTGGAGTTTTCTTTGGAGGAGGGCAGGATCTTCCTGTAGCCCCAACTGATCTGCAACTCCCTATGTAGACAAGGCTGACCTCAATCTCAGAGATCCTCCTGTTGCTGCCTCTGAGTGCTAGGATTAAATGTGTGCCACCACATTTAATACACATCCTTCAAGGAGTGTATTTTGAGTAATATCAGAGCCTTGGATTCTCAATGAGGCACAAAAGAAGTCCTGAGGAAGACTGGCCTTCATG